TTCTTTGTGCTGCACAAACACAGAAGAAGATAGTCCCTGCCCGAAAGAGCTATATAGAGCAGGGGTGGGCAAACTTTTTGGCCCGAGGCCCACATCTGGGTGGGGAAATTGAATGCAGGGCTATGAATATAGGGCTGGGGCAGGGGGTCAGGTTGCAGGAGGCAGTGCGGGGTGTGGAAGGAGGTGTGGTGTGCAGGAAGGGGCTCAAGGCAAAGGGTTGAGGTGGAGGAGTGGTGCGGAGTGTACAAGGGGGCTCAGGGCAGGGGGTTGGGGGCTCAAGGCAAGGGGCTGGGGTGCAGGAAGAGGGTGGGGTATGGCAGGGGGCTCAGGGCAGGGGGTTGGGGTGCAGGAGGGGTTTGGGGTGCGGGCTCTGGCCCAGCACTGCTTACCTGGGGTGGCAGCGGCACTCAGCGGGGCTAAGACAGCCCTGGCCCTGTGCCACACCCTTCCTGCCCTGGCCCTGTGCCACACCACTCCCGGAAGTGGCTGGCACCACATCCCTGCGGCTCCTGGGGGAGGGGGGGCAGAGGGCTCTGTGCTGCCCTCACCTGCGGGTACCTCCCCAAAAGCTCCCATTGGCCTTGGTTACCTGTTTCCGGCCAATGGGAGCTGCAGGGGGCAGTGCCTGCAGGCGAGGGCAGCGCCTGCAGGCGAGGGCAGCATGCAGAGCCCTCTGCCCCCCGCCCCTTCAAGGGCTGCAGGGATGTGCCGGCCGCTTCCGGAAGTGGCGCGGGGCCCATGGCATCACGGGGGTGGCAATCCCGCGGGCTGTAGTTTGCACACCCCTGATGTAGAGCCTTGTTTTGAAACTTAGGAGCAATGGATCTGTCAATACATTTCCTTTGTCATCGGTGGTTTGCCTCTAATCAAAACTCTGCTTAAATTATAGGAAGAAAAAGTCTTCTATTTTGGTAGTCTCTGGACTAAATTAATAACTGTCTGTTTCATGGGTGCTTCATATTGAGAACAGTTTTAATAGTCTTTTGGAAAAACATATCACCTGCCTTGCTATTTTCAGATATGCCAACCAAAATAGGTCCTTTGTCTTGCACTATGCTTTATATTATGCAGCTGTTATACTGCAACTTTGTTTTTAGTCAGTCCTTTTATACAAGTTTATGTCAAGAGGACTAGTACACCTAAAATGGCTACTTACCTTTTTTAAGCTTTGTCTTTTACAGGCCCAAAGTTTTAGGTTTCATTTGACCTTCATACTTGGAGAAGGCAATTTCTGTGCTCAGTTTAGCATTTTGTTCAACAAGTGCATGCGTTTACACACTGTTGACATTTAAATTAATTTCCCCTTGAAAATAACAATAATGGCTTGTCCAGAAGTAATGTTTTAGGAGAACAGTGGTATTAACAAATCTCAGGAATACCTGAAAAGAGACAATATAAAAAAATCTAGTGCTATTTGGCTGTGCTGAAGATTAAAAATAGTAAATCATCTGTCTAATTAAAATCCAGAGTATATTCAGCTGTATCTTTGGAGAATACATTTGAATAGATTCCCATGCTTAGGTGTGGCTAAAGTGTATTTTAATTGTGTTCTGCATCTGAGATTTGTATTCTAATTTCCCATGAGTTTTACCTAAAATCTAGAGCATAATAAAAATACAGTCTTCTTTCTTGTCATATTTTGAAAGGCTGCAGATATCCTAGAGATACTTTTTTAATTTTTTAGTTGTCTTCATTATTTACATCAGTACAGTTTAACTGTGCATACATCTAATAACAGACACGTGAACTGAAATTAGTTAAGTATTTAGCTGTCTATACTACATGAAAGAGTTGCCCATAGAAAGATCAGGAAGGATCACAGGGGTGTCAAAAACAAATAGAATAATACAGCTTTTCTGTAGGAGGAGGGCCTTCAGCAATCCATAAGGGATTAAGCCCCTATCTGGGAAATAAAAAATACTGTCAAGATTAGAAAACTAGATAGGCATTTTCCTCAAACACGTTATTGCTTTTGTTTCATGATACTTAGTGCAACAGGCAATGACATTCAGCAGCTAATTGAGACTGTCTTTTCACCAAAGCGAGAAAAGTGCTACATTTCTAACTAATGGATGTATGGGTCCAGACTTCATATAAATCAAGCCTAAAGCAATAAAGTAGTAAAATTGGAAACATGTCAGTTTCTACAGCATGATAGATGATCCTTGCCAAGAGAAGCCAATGGAACATTTTCCGTGGGACGGAGGTAAAATTAGTAATTTTGAATTAAACCCTATCTCTGTGTGACAGACAATCTTGGATATGAAATATGAAGGTATGATTTTGGGTAAAATAATCAGGATCCTACTCTTAATTCCAGAAGAAAGGTTTAGTGACTATGTTGGTAATGCAGACTAATTACATTATTGATCCTGGTATTTAAGCTGTTTTGATCTATGGGGACATCCTTTTGGATATACATATTAAACAACTAGTATCCTCACAGGTGAGTCTTGGGTCATAGTGAAATTTCTGGGAGAAAGACTATTTCTTCTCAGATCGTTGCCTATTACTATACTGGGTATGTGCATAAGAAGTACAGTAATTCAGCAAGATACTCTTTTCACTTACATGTGCTGTAGGAAGAAGTGGCTGGATACAGTAGGAGATCTTCAGAGTAGCTGATGAGTCAATCCAGAATTGCCCCATTTAAAGTTATACACTCTCCTCTGATTAAGTCCTTGGTGCATACTGAGCACCAGTGCTCTCAACAGCCTGAGATTTTGACTGCACTATTATTTTAGCATTATATCCAGGGGAAAGGAACTCATGAGAAGAAATAGGAATGCAGGAGGTACCATCTGTGTATATATTAAATACTGTATTATTATGGATTGAATTAGAACTGCTGTTGATGTACTAAATTTTTTTCTAACAAACTACACAAAAGATAGACTACTCTAATACATTCCTCATGGTGTATACACTGACACCATTTGGAAACAAGCTAGTTTAAGAGGAACTTTATTTTAAGAGTGTATGAATGCTAGCACTCTGTGAGCTGCAGTAGCTTCCTGAGAATTTTCTGATAGAATTCAAGATGGCAATTTTAACCATTAAAGCCATAAATCACTCAAGACCTAGTTACTAAGAGACATACTGGAACCTGAGATCTGCACAGGGGCTTGAAATGGAAGGAGGCAGGGCATTTTTGTGTATCCACTATCTAGTCAAGATGGTATTCTTAGAGATACAAAAATTACCTGTAATTCTGCTTCTCTGATGATATCGTTTAACTTGATTCCTTCTCAACCATAGTGGGAGACAAACATTTTGATGACTTATTTTGGACATAAATTATGTGTAGTGTTTAAGGAGCTCTTTGTTTCTCACTCAAAGAAATAACATTCCAGAGAGCACTGAGATACCAGGAGTTGGCCTGTGCATTAAAAATATGTATGTGTACTTCAGAGGCCTCAAAACCATTGAAACAGGGAGTTCCTGCTTGTCTCACATGATAGCAGAAGACCCCAGAATAGGAACCCTGTCATATTATAACGTCAGAAAAATTAAAACAACAAATAGGTGATTTTCCCTTCCTTGTCTGGTCTTTTCCTGCATTTCCTGTAATATTTGGTATGCGTTTGAACAAGATCTCTCTTTTAATGTCACACTTCTCCTTGAGCCTGCAGTGAAGGCTGTATACTCTTTATGACATTGGTTTGTTGCTATGGTGATGATTGTGACATCACAACTTCAACATCATAACTTCACTGCAGTGTTCAGTAGGAGAGAAAGTGAGCAGAGGAAAACCAAGCTCTTGTTTTAAACACTCCCACCATCCATTATGAGCAAGTGTGTCAAGAAATATCATGGAAAAACAACCGTAAGGTAATTATGTTTTTGTGTAGTCGATATATTTGAAAGTTTTCTCCACTAACCGAGTCTTTCAGTTTATAAATTTCAGTTAATGGATGTAATTTTCCCAAGCTTAGGTTTAAGATTTACAGGATAAAAAAATCACAAGAGAGTTGCTGATACCAATGTAAAAATCAAGTGTTAAACATCTATCATTTGGTTCAAAACAAAATCAGTTCCGTGTCCTGAATATGAAATCTTCATGTTTGGAATTACTGTTAGCAAAAGTGACAAAAGTATATAATAAAATTATATTTTGTCTAAAGGAGGATGATATTTCTATTTAGTGGGACAGAACAGTAGGATTTACGTACAATATTTCTATCAAAACTTTTCAGATGTTTCAATATTTTAATAATTTCCTACTCTGGTATATCTCTCCAGTGACTAATTTATACAGATAAGAATAGAAGGAAGTTTTGCTTTCATCACAAAACAAAAGAAAAACAATCCAGACATGGTAATCCAGAATAAATATTCACTTGTTAGGTATGATCTTATGGTTCTGATTGTGTCCATTGCAGGATACACAATATTATGACTGTCTAACCTAGTTGAATAAAGAAAAGATAAAAATTTCTAACCAATTCTTCCTAGACATCTAATTGTCACTTCCTAAAGTGACTATACTATACTGCATCTACAGGTCTTCTTTTGTAGACCTGACTGAATAAATAGTTACCAGATATTTCTCCCTCAGCATTCCTCAGAATGGTCCTCTTCTTTTTCCCAGTTAACTCTTCTCATCTTCAGTTTCTCCTTGTTTTAATGTTCCTTCCACTCCCCTACCCCAACATAGAAGGGCTGGATAGGTATCTTCCTGGAATCAGCATTGCAAGCTAGTATCTGGACATAATGGGTTGCTAGAGAATGAGGCTTTGATTTCCTTACTCAGTGCTGGGAGTATTGCTTACACACTGCATCTAGTCCTTGCTAGCCAAGAGAGTGAGCTTGATTCCTAATTTACAGGTCATGCATGGCAACACACTGTGATGCTAGGATACTGTTGGGTTGCTCTTTTGTCAAATATTTTAAAGAACTGAAATTGGGAGTTGAGGAGAAAAATAATTTAATAGAGTTGAAATAAATATCCCTTCTTCAGGTCTGAATTCATTTCCTTGCACTATATTATTTATTTTTAGACAAATGACCACGGAAATGGTTGAATCGCAACAGGATGGAAGTGCAACAGATTCTGTGGCAGAGAGCGATGCTGTTTGCATACAAAATCAGCCAGGCCAAAGTCAGATTTCCCCCATAGCTCAGGTAATTTGACATACAGGAAACTAAGAAAAACAAATAAAAATGATCATTTAGAATTGTTACTTGCATTTGGATGAACATGATACTTTTCTACAGTTCATCATTAAATCCCCCTGCTCTGTATCAATCTTTTGTTCTTAGAGTAGTGATTTCATATTAAAAACAATAAAGATATAGTCCCAAATGATGACTGCTGTGTTATGGACATGGCAGAATAAGGGCCACAGATAATACAGCACATTATTGTAAGTCATTCACAGAAGTAACACTTCAAGAGTTTCTCAGGATGGCACTGTAATGGAAGCCAGTAGACTGTCTTTCCATGTTCTTGGAACTACTGCTATACAGTAGTTATCTGATAATAGTGTCCTATTAAATTGAGGCAGCTACAGGATTAGAGTGAGGAGATGAATTTCATGTATCCTAGAATTTGGAGATGCTTGATGCAGCAATTTATGATAATGGGTGAAGCTAATTTTTGTCTCCCCCCACCCTAGTACTCTTGTTTACTCAAAATGAGTCCAATTCTTCAGGCAAAACTTCTTAGAATCATTGCTTATATTTCCTTCCTATGCACATGATGGCACTTTCTGGATTTTTTTACATTTTTTTTTAGATATTCTCTGGGAAAGTATTTTGCTGGTTAATAGAATAGAGGTGACAATTAAAAAATTCAAACTTTAGTTTGATATATTAGGTAAGCTCCATAAAGGCTTCAGTTTTTTTAAACTTATCCATGATCTGTATTAAAAGGAAATTGCTACTAATATTCCAGTATGCTTGTCAATATTTATATCCTGATCCTTTGGAATACTACAGTACTTCAGTGCCATTCAACTCCTATGGCTTTCCATCACACGTTTATTTTTAATCCAGACAGTGCTTCGGAGATGCATATTTTATCCAAATACAGTTTATTGGCATAACCCCAGTGTGAGCAGGATGCATTCCTGTTTTAGTCTTTGGCTCCCTGTGGACTGTGCCAACTGCTCTGCCATAGTACTTACTCAAGTGACCTGTCCTTTCTTTGTGCTCATCAGGTTAGTGGTTGTGATATTGTGAAAGGACTCAGCTTGGCAGCACCCAGAAGGGTGATTTGTCGGTTTCTCCACAGAACTTGTGTATCAGCTGCACTCCAAACTTCTCCATATTGCCCATGCAGTTTACACACACACCATATGCACCCATTCATCCCTGTTCTCTTCAACCTTGACTTGAAAAGTCAAGTATAAAGGTTAGAAGGTAGTTCTTTCTGAAAGCTCATCCAATTTTTGGCCTTCTCTACTTTAACTAATAAAGGTCCTATTTGTGGTAGTGATTTCTGTGACATGTACACCTGTGAATTAAAAACTGAATTGAGACTACCCACTAAATATAGGGCATTGTATTGGGGTGGTGGCTGTGCTCATAATGGCTCCTGCTGGCTGAATGTGGCACTATAGGTTCTTCCTATTTCCCCTAAGAATGCCACACAGTCCAAAAGAATGAAAAACAAAGTTCCCCTGTTATGGTTCTACTTTATTAAATTGAAATATATTTGAAATAGAAAGTCTCTCCCATTGAGTTTGGGGTTTGTACAGCCCTCCTCTGTGGGGCCTGTGGTTCTCGGGGTCCAGTTCAGTCTCTACCTTAATTTGCTGCAGAACTCACCTGCAGCCACTTTTGTCCAGCCAGCTGCAGCCCCCCAGGCTCCTGGCATTATTCTCTTTCCCTTTTCATTGTTATCATCCCTTCTCGTCCTTCTCCTCCTGCTGCTGAGGAGCTACTCTCTGAGAACACACCATCCGGATTCCTTGCTCTGGTGAGCTCTCTACTCTTCGCAGGCACTTCCTGTTTTCTAGAGCCCAACTGTAGTGCTAGTAATGTGCCTTTATGAGGCACATTAGCTAAACAACTGGCAATAAATCACCTAAGGATTTAATTGGATCCAGGTGGGTATAAGTTGGTTCATTTTCTGTTACAGCAGCTTGTCTCAGGTAGGTGGGTCCCTGATTCCCTCTTAAAGGATTAGTCCCGTGACAGGCACCTCATAGGCATCAATTTGTAATTACTTTTGGCCATTGCCAGCCAGTGAAAGTTGCCAGATCCCTAGACATGAATTTGGGTGAAATCCTGGCTATGGAAACTAGGCTAACATAGTTTCTCTCCTACTTCCAGTTCTTTCTGGGTACTAGCTTGTCTGTATTTTCCCTGAGCCTTATTTAGATCCAGGGAAGTTATGCCCCATACTTTAAGTGTCCACTGGGTCTCAATTTATTATCTATATATCTCCAAATCTATCCACATCTATTCTTCTTTGGGGGTCATATGCAAATGAGATCAGGGATCTGTCCATCACAGTTCAGAATTTGCCTCCAATATGACTGTGTTTCAGAATTGCTGTGACCTGACAGATGCTCGGCCACCAGGAGATATAATATGCCTTCAGATGATCTTCATCTTAACATTTTGCAAGGCTGCTGCTTGAGGCTCTATGTGGGATTTAAACCTTTTTTCCCCATTCAAATGAAGCCTGATTTGGGAGAATGAGGTTGCAATCCTGTCATGGAACTATCCTCCAGCACACCCCCTTGTGGCTTCTCACCTCTCTGCTGGTATATCGCACTCAGCACTTCCTGGGTTCTTTCAATCAATTACCCAGACTAGATTTGTTCAAAACATGTAGCCCCTTTCTGGTTTATTAAGTGCTTATTAAGTCTACACAGTGTAATTCACTCAGTCATCCCAGTTCACACGCACTTTTGGTCTCTATAAGAATCCTTGTAATCTTTCTTGCTCCTTCTGGGAGCTGGGGTAGTACTCTAAGGGTATGTCTACACTGGCAGAGTTACAGCACCTGCAGTTACAGTGCCGCTCAGAGAGCGCTGAAGGGAAACAAACCGCTGTTGTGTGTTCAAACTGTCAGCTTCCTGCACAATAGCATGTTCACATGTGGCACTTGCAGAGATATTCGGAGCGGTGCACTCTGGGCAGCTATCCCACAGAGCATCTCTTCCTCTTCAGCCACTAAGAGTTGTAGGAAGGTGGAGGGGGTCATGGGGCATCCTGGGTCCTGTCTCAATGCCCCGTGATGCATTGCTTTTCATTCCAGCAATCCCTGTGCTTCCATTTGCATTTGGCGCCATCTTTCAACGGTTTGTGTACTGCACACCCTGCCTGCAGGAATGGATCCCGAACTGTTGACCAGTACACTGCTCGCTCTGACCAACACATCACGCGTGGCAGTGGAGTTATTCCTTAAACTACAAAGGCAAGAGGAGTGTGACATTGATTTTGCCATGTGTACTAGCTACAACATGAGATTGCTTTTGGCATTCATGGAGGTGCTGACCGCAGTGGAACGCCACTTTGGGGCTTGGAAAACAAGTCGTGGGATCACATCATGATGCACGTCTGGGATGACGAGCAGTGGCTGCAGAACTTTCGCATGAAGAAAGCCACATTCATGGGACTGTGTGATGAGCTCGCCCCAACCCTGTGGTGCAAGGACATGAGAATGAGAGCTGCCCTGCCGTTGGAGAAGCACGTGGTGATTGCACTGTGGAAGCTGGCTACTCCAGACTGCTACTGATGAGTCGGTAACCAGTTTGGAGTGGGAAAGTTGACTGTTGGACTCTTGTTGATGGAAGTGTGCAGGGCCATTAATCGCATCCTGCTCTGAAAGACCATGACTCTGGACAACATGCGTGACATTGTAGATGGCTTTGCTGTGGAGGGGCGATAGATGGCACACATATTCCAAATCTGGCACCAGATCACCTAACCACCGAGTTTATTAGTCACAAGGAATTTTTCTCAATGGTTCTCCAGGTGCTTGTGAATCACCGTGGGCATTTCACAGATATTAACGCAGGCTGGTCCTGAAAGGTGCACAACACATGCATCTTTTGAAACACTGGCCTGTTCAGGAAGCTGCAATCAGGGACTTTTTTCCCGGACCAGAAGATCACCGTAGGGGAAGTCAAAATGCCCATTGTGATCCTGAGAGATCCCACCTACCCCTTAATACCGTGGCTTATGAAGCCATACACGGGGTAACTTGGCAGAAGCAAGGAGCAGTTCAACAACAGGATGAGCAAGTGCAGAATGAATGTTGAGTGTGCTTTTGGATGTTTAAGGGCCCGCTGGTGCTTCCTGTATGGGAAGCTGGACCTGGCCGATGACAGTATTCCTATGCTTATAGCTGCATGCTGTATGCTCCATAATATTGTGAAGGGAAGGGTGAAAGCTTCACTCAGGGCTGGACCACAGAGGCTCGGTGTCTGGAGACTGAGTTTGAGCAGCCAAAGACCAGGGCTGTTAGAGGGGTGCAGCACGGGGCCATAAGGATCAGGGATGCCTTGAGGCAGCAATTTGAAGCTGAAAACCACTAATATTTGTTGCTATGCTCGGGAGTACAGTGCTTGTAATGCTAGGAGATGATTGGTGCAGACAATGCAATATGTGGGTTTAACATAATTGTATGTTGCTTTGCAGGGCTCTTTTTGCTTTCAATTAATAGAATAAAAATTGCTTTCAAACCAACAGTTTTTTTTTATTAAAAAATAACTACTGGAGGAGAGAGTCAAACAAAAAAAATCAGCAATGAGGGGGATGGGGGAAGGGAAGGTCCCAGGAGGAGGTGGGGTCCCGGGACGGCTAAAGATTTGTGTATGTCCAGGGATCATATCCAACCTTCTCCTTTGGAGTACAATGCAGTGGGTACTGTACTTCAGCAGGGCCAAACTGTTGAGGGATGGGTGTTGAGTGCAGTGGGTAGTGGGAGACCACAGTGCTGGACTGTGAGGAGGGAGGAATGGGATGCTGCGGGTAGAGACTGAAGTCAGGAGGTTGATAAGAGTGTGTTGGCAATGTCTGGGGGGAACATGGGAAAGAGTTTTGCGACAGTGGCTGCAGGGGAGGGCGGGCGCAGAGCTGCTCGGTTTGCAGAGCTAGTATCGCCTGGAGCGTGCCTGCTTGGAACTCCATAACCTTTAAGAGCCACTCTGTGGCTTCATTCTGGC